TTGCAGCAAGGAGGAGGCTGGAGGCAGTGGAGATGTCATGTCTGAAAGCAATGTGTTGTATGAATATTATACAGAGAATTCCCAACTTGGAGATTAGAATGACGTGTAGGGTTATTAACCCTTTCAGGGTCCAAGGCCAAAATCGGAAGGGGTGCCACAGTGTCCAAGAAATTTTGACAAAAAAAAAAAAATAATGATTTTTCTTACAGAATTAAAGATAATATTTTTGTGAAGGTAATAAAACAAAAAAAAAATTCTGATCAATACTTACCGAGATACAGCGGCGGGAAGTTGACCCAAAATAACCGAGTGGCGACAACATCAGTGACTTCCGCAAAATCCCATTTTTTTATTTTACGTGTTTTATACTTTTTCTTTTCTTTTCTAATTTTTTTCTTTTTCTAATAACATTTGTGGCCTGTGAGACCAATATAATGTATATTGTATAAGTGTACACTCATTGTATTCAACACAATAACTGCACTAATTTGTTCATCATTACATTGTTTACAAAACTTGTTACAAGTTTATTGTAAACAAAATGATGAAAATATTAGTGCGGTTATTGTGTTGAATACAATGGTACCATATAGTACTATATGGTACAATGGTGCTATAGGGTGCAATGGTACTATATAGTACAATTGTACATATGGTACAGTGGTACCATATGGTACAATGGCACTTGATACAATGGTACCATATGGTAGAATATGGTACAATGGCACCATTGGGTACAATGGTACCATATGATACAATGGTATCATATGGTGCAATGGTACCTTATACAGTGGACCCCCGCATACCGATTTTAATCCGTGCAAGAGGGCTCATTGGTATGCGAATGAATTTTCCCCATAAGAAATAATGGAAATCAAATTAATCCGTGCAAGACACCCAAAAGTATGAAAAAAAAATTTTTTACCACATGAAATGTTAATTTTAATACACACAAACTGAAAAAGGCATGCACACTTACATGACACTTACTTTTATTGAAGATCTGGTGATGATTGATGGGATGGGAGGAGGGGAGAGAGAGTGTTAGTGTTTAGAAGGGGAATCCCCTTCCATTAAGACTTGAGGTGTCGAGTCCTTTTCTGGGGTTACTTCCCTTCTTCTTTTAATGCCACTAGGACCAGCTTCAGAGTCACTGGACTTCTGTCGCACAACATATCTGTCCATAGTGGCCTGTACCTCTCGTTCCTTTATGACTTCCCTAAAGTGTTTCACAACATTGTCAGTGTACAGGTTGCCAACACGGCTTGCAATAGTTGTGTGAGGGTGATTTTCATCAAAAAAGGTTTGCACTTCAAGCCACTTTGCACACATTTCCTTAATCTTTGTAGGAGGCAACTTCTTCAATTTCTCTCTCCCCTCCTCTGAACCAGTTTCCTCAGGTCTGGCCTCTTGCTGTTGAAGTTGATCTATCAGCTCATCAGTGGTTAGTTCTTCATTGTCCTCCTCCACCAACTCTTCCACATCCTCCCCACTAACCTCCAACCCCAAGGACTTTCCCAATGCCACAATGGATTCCTCAACTGGCATAATCCTCTCAGGGTTAGCCTCAAACCCTTCAAAATCCCTTTTGTCTACACATTCTGGCCACAGTTTCTTCCAAGCAGAGTTCAAGGTCTTCTTAGTCACTCCCTCCCAAGCCTTACCTATAAGGTTTACACAATTGAGGATATTAAAGTGCTCTCTCCAAAACTCTCTTAGAGTCAATTGAGTTTCTGAGGTCACTACAAAGCACCTTTCAAACAGAGCTTTTGTGTACAGTTTTTTGAAGTTTGCAATAACCTGCTGGTCCATGGGCTGCAGGAGAGGAGTGGTATTAGGAGGCAAAAACTTCACCTTAATGAATTTCATGTCCCCATAAAGTCGCTCTGCCACGTCTGTAGGATGACCATGGCCATTGTCTAACACCAGGAGGCACTTAAGTTCTAATTTCTTTTCAGTTAGGTAATCTTTCACATTGGGGGCAAATGCATGGTGTAACCAGTCATAGAAAAAGTCCCTAGTGACCCATGCCTTACTGTTTGCCCTCCACAGCACACACAAATTCTCCTTGAGGACATTCTTTTGCCTGAACGGTCTGGGAGTTTCAGAGTGATACACTAATAAAGGCTTAACTTTGCAATCACCAGTAGCATTGGAACACATCAACAAAGTAAGCCTGTCTTTCATAGGCTTATGTCCTGGGAGTGCCTTTTCCTCCTGAGTAATGTAGGTCCTGCTTGGCATTTTCTTCCAAAACAGGCCTGTTTCATCACAATTAAACACTTGTTCAGGTTTCAGTCCTTCAGCCTCTATGTACTCCTTGAATTCATGCACATATTTTTCAGCCGCTTTGTGGTCCGAACTGGCAGCCTCACCATGCTTTATCACACTATGTATGCCACTACGCTTCTTAAATCTCTCAAACCAACCTTTGCTGGCCTTAAATTCACTCACATTATCACTAGTTGCAGGCATTTTTTTAATTAAATCCTCATGCAACTTCCTAGCCTTTTCACTTATGATCGCTTGAGAGACGCTATCTCCTGCTAGCTGTTTTTCATTTATCCACACCAATAAGAGTCTCTCAACATCTTCCATCACTTGCGATCTTTGTTTCGAAAACACAGTTAAACCTTTGGCAAGAACAGCTTCCTTGATTGCCTTTCTGGTGCCCACAATAGTAGCGATGGTTGATTGGGGTTTCTTGTACAACCTGGCCAGGTCGGCGATACGCACTCCACTTTCATACTTATCAATGATCTCTTTCTTCATCTCTATTGGAATTCTCACCCTTATTGCTGTAGGGTTGGCACTAGAAGCTTTCTTGGGGCCCATGGTCACTTATTTTCCAGAAAAAGCACCGAAAACACTGTAATAATACGAAATATTCCGATTGTATGCTTGGATGTTACCGCGGAGGCTGGCTGGTAAACAATGCCACCGGCGGCACGTGAGGCTGGCTGAGGGCGCACACTGGACGCATCTCGGACGAACATCGGTGAGCGGGTTTTTAAGCGGTATGCGAGGCAAAATTTTTGCGATTAAAGCAAGCGGTATGCGGATTAATCGTTATGTGATGCCAACGGTATGCGGGAGTCCACTGTAGTACCATATGGTGCAATGGTACCATATGGCACAATGGTACCATATGGTACATTGTACCATACAGTACAATGATACCATATGGTTCATTGTACCATATGGTACTGTTGTATTCAACACAATAAACACACTAATATCTTCATCAATATTTTGTTTACAACAAAAATATGCAAAAATGTTGTATATTAGTAATGTTCTATTATATATTTACAAGTGTACAGGAACTTGACTTGTTCCTTGAGGTGGATGACAAAGCACTTTGTCTTGGAAACTGCCTGCCGAGTCAGTAGCTAGCTTGCGTCACCACTCACTCAGTCTTGGTTGGTGTCTCATGCCACCAACACCTATTGACCATATGGTACACGGTATCATATGTTACAGAGTGCCATATGGTACATTGTACTATATGGTATAGGGTACCATGCAGTACAGGATAACATATGGTACTGGGTACCATATGGTACAGGGTACCATATGGCACAGGGTACCACATGGCACAGGGTACCATATGGCACAGGGTACCATACAGTACAGGACACCATATGGTAGAGATACAGGGATCCCTATGGAAATAAGTCACCCTGACGTTTTTTGGGTTATCCTAGGATTTTATACATATGCTGCCATGTATGATAATCTATGTAATTGTGTTTCTGTACACCTGAATAAACTTCCTCAAGCACATGTGGCATCATAAGTAAGTTTATTTAGGTATACACAAATAAAGTTGCACAGAATATCATACTTAGCAGCATATGTTTGGAGAACCTAGGATAACCCAAAAAGGTCAGACAGATGTATTTCCATTAGGGTCCCTGTACCCTGTACCATATAGTATAATGTACCATATGGTACAATGTACTATATGGTACATTGTACCATATGGTACTATTGTACCATTGTACAATATGATACCATTGTATGACATGGCACCATTGTACCATATGGCACAATGGTACCATATGGTTCAAAACCATAGAATTCCTCTTCAGCTCCACTTCCATCAGTCTTAGAACTGTAAGTTGTGAAGAGGAGAGTCAGAATTCACCCAGAGAGTGAGTGGGGAGTGAGAGCTTCCTTGCCGCCAGGCACAATGAACAAAGCTACTTTGCCGGCATTCCCACAATGCCATGCTGGCGTCCAGATTTTTTCTATAGTGTGCACACTGACCACCCAGACCCATTCTCTCAGATGTAGGCCTACCAGCCTTCTCGTGCTAAATTTGACGCTGCTAGAATTTTGGCGTAGATCTACAGTTTGGACCCTGAACGTAAAGCCGTAGATCTACGGGAGGGACCCTGAAAGGGTTAAATGTATTATCCAGAGGGTTGAAGAGGGGTTGCTGAAGTAGTTCAGACATTTAGAGAGGATGGAACAAAATAGGATACAAATCCACAGTGGAGGAAAGATGGCATAGGGATTGTCCTAGGAAAGTTCGGAGTGAAGGGGTAAAGGTCCTGTATGTGAGAGGTTTGAACACCTAGGAAGCACGTGTGTATTAGACAGCAGTGGAGGCAAGTGATATTTATGACGATGAGCTGTTGGAGTATAAGCAAAGTAACATTTATGAAGGGAAACTGGTTAGCCAGACTTGAGTCCTGGAGTTGGAAAATATAGTGCCTGCATTCTGAAGGAGTGGAGATACTTGAACTGTAGTGTTGGCATGCATCTGGCAAGACAGTGTTGGAGTGAGTGATTGGTGAGTACTGTCTCTTTTTTTGGGTCACCCTACCTTGGTGGGAGATGGCCAGTGAGATAAAAAACGGAGTTAATTTACCTTCTTGAAAAGGTAAAAACACTCTATTTGAATGCATGCATATATAGGGCCTATTACAGAAGTAATTGCATGGACAGAAAGCTTATAAAAATGTTAATAAACAGAAAGCTTATAAACTTACTAACTGATTTACAAGGCTGACAGTTTCTTGGGGCCTCAGACACCTCATATTATGATATAGAAATAGAGTTAAGGCCTCTGGAGTCAACCACTGTCCTTGTGAAGCTCCCAGCACTTGTGGTTCTGCTAATGCCACAATGCGGAATGATGGGTGAATGCGGTATATACCTCTAGCTCTCATATCTGTCTCCGATAGTTCATTATCATTCATGATTTTATCATATCGATCAGAGCGTAACAATCTACTCCCATCATACAGCTGAAGTTCTCGATCATGGATTAGCCTGTTGAAATATGTTCAAAACATTTAGCATCTTTATCCAGAATGCCAGTAAATGTTAATGAATAAATCTGAAAAAAAAATGTGCATTTATACTGAATCTGTATTACAATATTATGATAGTTAATGCTAGCTGAAAGTTCATTACAAATAAAAAATTACTGTACAACAAATTTAGAGCTCAGAAACTACAGATAACAGTCATTAACAAACTACAATACAAAAGGGCCATAATTTACAAGGTTCTGAGTTACAAGGCTCTTCACTGACAACACTGGTATTTTGGAACCAATTAATTACTTATGAACAATGACTCACTTTTCTGACATCAGGACAACTATACTGGCATAAAATTTCCTTAAGGATGAATTATAAATAGCCAGTAACACATTTTACTTGGTTAGCTTTTCACCAAACATTCAAACTTTGTGTGAGTAGAAATGGGAGTTGTCTGTCTGGCACTCAACAGACAGAGGATCAAGCCTCCACCAAATCTGGTGCTGAATGACCTACATGGCTTTAGTGATTAACATGAATTAAACAAACAAAAGCAGCAGCAGTTTGTAGTGGTAGTAGCAATTAGCAGTAGCTAGTTGATGATTAATAAGGGTAGTAGTAGTTAGTATCAGCAATAGCAGCAGCAGTAGTAGTTGGAAGTAGTAATAGTAGTCAGTAGAAGTACTTGGTAGTAATCATAGTAGTTTGTAGTGGTAGCAGTTAGTAGTTGTAATGGCACAGTACTACTGCTAGTAGCAGCAATTAGTAGTATTAGTAGTTAGTATTATTAGTGTAGTAGTAGTATTGTTAGTAGCAGTAGTAGTACTGTTAGCACTAACAGTAGTAGTATTGTTAGTAGTATTGTTAGCAGTATTGTTAGTAGTGGTAGTATTAGTAGTAAGTAGTTAAAAGTAGCAGTCAGTAATAGCATTACTAGCCATAGCAGTAGTAATTATTGAGAATTAGTAATAGTTAGTGAGAGTTAATAGCAGTCAGTGGTGGTGGTGGTGGTAGCAGCAGTAACAGTATTGTTAATATTATTAGTCAGTGGTAGTAAATAGTAATTAGTGGTAGTACATAGTGGTAGTAAGTAGTAGTAATAGTTAGCAGTACAACAACTACCACGAATTTGAGAATCAAAAATCTCTGAATATTTCCAGTTTAATAATTCAAAACAGTACAAACCTATGTAATACAGCCAATGTGCCATGATGAAGTCTATGTATTCCATCTAAAATAACCATTTTTCCCTCTAAGGCAGATGTCACCAGTGGGGAGAACTGCCAGGCAGTGTCACCAGTGGGTGAAGTTACACGCTGCTGCACAAGATCACGAGCAGTCATGTCCTAAATATAATAAAATTGGATTAATAAAAAAAAAAAATAGAAAATTTCACTTTCCTGCCTCACCTCTTACTTGGGCAACTCCCTAACCTGAAGAAAGTAAGCATATTCAAAATTTTCCGCACATCTAATAGGCACGTGTGAGCTTGTCAGATTGCAGTGAGTTGAGGCAAGTTATTTTTTTTTTTTTAATTTAAAGTATTTTGTAATGTGTCCATGATAACATTTACGAAGGTATTCAGAAAAACTAGTGAAGTGAACTTGAGCTTTGGAAGCAGGAAGTAGAGTGCCTACACTCTGACAGACTGGTGGGTTTGTTGCACTCTGGCAGACTGGTGGACATGTTGCACTCTGGCAGACTGGTGGGTATGTTGCACTCTGGTGGGTATGTTACACTCTGACAGACTGGTGGGTCTGTTGCACTCTGACAGACTGGTGGGTATACTGCACTCTGACAGACTGGTGGGTATACTGCACTCTGACAGACTGGTGGGTATGTTGCACTCTGACAGACTGGTGGGTTTGTTGTGCTCTGACAGACTGGTGGGTATGTTGCACTCTGACAGACTGGTGGGTATGTTACACTCTGACAGACTGGTGGGTATGTTGCACTCTGGTGGGTATGTTACACTCTGACAGACTGGTGGGTCTGTTGCACTCTGACAGACTGGTGGGTATACTGCACTCTGACAGACTGGTGGGTATGTTGCACTCTGACAGACTGGTGGGTTTGTTGTGCTCTGACAGACTGGTGGGTATGTTGCACTCTGACAGACTGGTGGGTATGTTACACTCTGACAGACTGGTGGGTATGTTACACTCTGACAGACTGGTGGGCATGCTGCACTCTGACAGACTGGTGGGTATGTTACACTGACAGACTGGTGGGTATGTTACACTCTGACAGACTGGTGGGTATGTTGCACTCTGACAGACTGGTGGGTTTGTTGTGCTCTGACAGACTGGTGGGTATGTTACACTCTGACAGACTGGTGGGTATGTTACACTCTGACAGACTGGTGGGTATGTTACACTCTGACAGACTGGTGGGCATGTTACACTCTGACAGACTGGTGGGTATGTTGCACTCTGACAGACTGGTGGGTATGTTACACTCTGACAGACTGGTAGTATGTTACACTCTGACAGACTGGTGGACATTTTGCACTCTGACACACTGGTGGGTATGTTGCACTCTGGTGGGTATGTTACACTCTGACAGACTGGTGGGTTTGTTGTGCTCTGACAGACTGGTGGGTATGTTGCACTCTGACAGACTGGTGGGTATGTTACACTCTGACAGACTGGCGGGTATGTTACACTCTGACAGACTGGTGGGTATGTTACACTCTGACAGACTGGTGGGCATGCTGCACTCTGACAGACTGGTGGGCATGTTGCACTCTGACAGACTGGTGGGTATGTTACACTGACAGACTGGTGGGTATGTTACACTCTGACAGACTGGTGGGTATGTTGCACTCTGACAGACTGGTGGGTTTGTTGTGCTCTGATAGACTGGTGGGTATGTTGCACTCTGACAGACTGGTGGGCATGTTGCACTCTGACAGACTGGTGGGTATGTTACACTCTGACAGACTGGTGGGTATGTTGCACTCTGACAGACTGGTGGGTATGTTACACTCTGACAGACTGGTGGGTATGTTACACTCTGACAGACTGGTAGTATGTTACACTCTGACAGACTGGTGGGTATGTTGCACTCTGACACACTGGTGGGTATGTTACACTCTGACAGACTGGTGGACATGTTGCACTCTGACACACTGGTGGGTATGTTGCACTCTGGTGGGTATGTTACACTCTGACAGACTGGTGGATATGTTGCACTCTGACACACTAGTGGGTATGTTGCACTCTGACACACTGGTGGGTATGTTGCACTCTGACACAACTAGTGGGTATGTTGCACTGACACATGGTGGATATGTTGCACTCTGACACACTAGTGGGTATGTTGCACTCTGGTGGGATAGTTTGCACTCTGACACACTAGTGGGTATGTTGCACTCTGGTGGGTATGTTGCACTCTGACACACTAGTGGGTATGTTGCACTCTGACACATGGTGGATATGTTGCACTCTGACACACTAGTGGGTATGTTGCACTCTGGTGGGTATGTTGCACTCTGACACACTAGTGGGTATGTTGCACTCTGGTGGTATGTTCACTCTGACAACTAGGTGGGTCTGTTGCACTCTGACAGACTGGTGGGTATACTTGCACTCTGACAGACTGGTGGGTATGTTGCACCTGCGACTGGTGGGTTTGTTGTGCTCTGACAGACTGGTGGGTATGTGCACTGACGACTGTGGGTAGTTACACTCTGACAGACTGGTGGGTATGTTACACTTGCAGATGGTGGGCATGCTGCACTCTGACAGACTGTGGGTATGTTACCTGACAGACTGGTGGTAGTTACACTTGACAGGCATGGTTGGGTATGTTGCACTCTGACAGACTGGTGGGTTTGTTTGCTCTGACAGACTGGTGGGTATTTACACTTGACAGACTGGTGGTATGTTACAACTCTGAACAGACTGGTGGGTCATTTACACTCTGACAGATGTGGCATGTTCCTTGGACAGATGGTGGGTATGTTGCACTTCAGACTGTGCAGTAGTTACACTTACAGACTGGTAGTATGTAAACTAGAAGACTGGTGTGACATTTGCACTTGAAACTTGGTGGGTATGTTGCACTCTGGTGGTATGTACATCTACAGATGTGGGTTTGTTGTGCTCTGACAGACGTGGGATGTTGCACTCTGACAACTGGGGATTTCACACCTGACGAGGCGTATGTTACACTCTGACAGATGTGCGATAATGTTACCTCTGACAGATTCGGTGGAGTCATTGCTGCACTCTGACAGACTGGTGGGCATGTTGCACTTGACAGACTGGTGGGTATGTTACATCTGACAGACTGGTGGGTATGTTACACTCTGACAAAACTTTGTGGGTATGTGCACTCTGACAGACTGGTGGGTTTGTTGTGCTCTGATAAATGGTGGGTATGTTGCACTCTGAAAAGACTGGTGGGCATGTTCACCTGACAGATGGTGGATGTTTACACTCGACGACTGGTGGGTATGTTGCACTCTGACAGACTGGTGGGTATGTTACACTCTGACAGACTGGTGGGTATGTTACACTCTGACAGACTGGTAGTATGTTACACTCTGACAGACTGGTGGGTATGTTGCACTCTGACACACTGGTGGGTATGTTACACTCTGACAGACTGGTGGACATGTTGCACTCTGACACACTGGTGGGTATGTTGCACTCTGGTGGGTATGTTACACTCTGACAGACTGGTGGATATGTTGCACTCTGACACACTAGTGGGTATGTTGCACTCTGACACACTGGTGGGTATGTTGCACTCTGACACACTAGTGGGTATGTTGCACTCTGACACACTGGTGGATATGTTGCACTCTGACACACTAGTGGGTATGTTGCACTCTGGTGGGTATGTTGCACTCTGACACACTAGTGGGTATGTTGCACTCTGGTGGGTATGTTGCACTCTGACACACTAGTGGGTATGTTGCACTCTGACACACTGGTGGATATGTTGCACTCTGACACACTAGTGGGTATGTTGCACTCTGGTGGGTATGTTGCACTCTGACACACTAGTGGGTATGTTGCACTCTGGTGGGTATGTTGCACTCTGACACACTAGTGGGTATGTTGCACTCTGACACACTGGTGGATATGTTGCACTCTGACACACTAGTGGGTATGTTGCACTCTGGTGGGTATGTTGCACTCTGACACACTAGTGGGTATGTTGCACTCTGGTGGGTATGTTGCACTCTGACACACTAGTGGGTATGTTGCACTCTGGTGGGTATGTTGCACTCTGACACACTAGTGGGTATGTTGCACTCTGACACACTGGTGGATATGAAAAGGCAGGTTAGGGAGTGTCTGACAGTTTACGTGTTTTTCTTCTCTAGGTCACTTGGTGGAAAAATGCCAACTGTGCAAACAAAGAAAACTAAACATTAGTTATTATGAAATTTCTCCTGGAGCATCATTATTGTAAATATCATCAACAATGCCAAGAAAATAAAGAACTGCAATTAAAAGTAGCTTTTGATATTTAACCTTAAACATTAATGAGTAAAAGTGTCAACATACCTGGTAGACAAGTATTGGTTCTGTCTGATAACCCAACAAGTGTGCCATCTTTGCAACAACTGCAGACTTTCCACATCCACGAGGGCCAATTAAACAAAAGTCCCCAACACTGTGACTCTGAATCATTTCAGTGAGTATTTCATGATGATATGGTATAAATTCAAATGGCGGGGGAGGACTTCCCCAACTGTTCCCAGAGGTAACCTAAAATTATAACAAAAAATAAAACATTATATTTGGAGTATAATGCTTCTCTAAAACTACTGCATATGAAAAACAACACATTCTATTCAATACAAGAGGACCCTGCTTATACACCAGGTTTGGTTTTGGGATACTGCTATAAAGTGAAAATTGCTGTAAAGTGAGTCACAGTCTTTTTTCACTTTCAGATGCATATAAAAACCTGATAATATGCTTACAGTATCATATATTAAATGAGCAATATAGCTAGGCCTAAAAAAAAGCATATTACTTTCTTTTAAATATTTTCAGCCTTAGCTTATAGTGAGTGGTGAATATACATATTGTAGGAAGTCTGAATAAATCAAGAAAGAGTATAATTTAAAACTGCTGTATTAGCAAAACACTGTAAGGTGAAGTGCTGTAAAGCAAGGTCTGCCTGTATATAATAAAGCCTCAAAAAGGCAATAAATTACAATAAACTGAAATTGAAATGTTTATTTCTCTGTAAAGATTACAATGGGTGGTTTACATATTATAAAACAATAATTACAAAGACGGCCACTAGCGTGTCTAGCAAGCCGAGGCATTTCGCGCAGACTAATAATAATTATTACTTTATATTACAAATTACAAATGATTAAATGAATATAGGTGCAATTGTGAGGTAGTTCAGGACATTTAAGAATATAACAATTTGCAAAATTAGTAATGACAATGGTTTTGTCTTGGCATGATACACAGTTTCTATTAAAGCTCATATATTGGAGTATCTCAGGCAAACTTAGGACTAGTTTGAGATTTATTAGGCAATTTTATGTTCATAGTCATTTGGGTCAGGAGGAGGAGGTGTGTGTGTGCCCATGAATGGGTGGTTTTCATGTTAGTTTATGGTGGGGTGTGTTAGGGAGATAAAATGTTTTTTGACAGCAGTTTTGAAAATGCTTGCTGAGTCTGTAGTTCTAGAGTTTTCAGGTAGGGAGTTCCAGATTTTGGGCCCTTTAATGTACATTGAATGTTTGTATAAATTTAGCCGGACATGGGGAATGTCATAGAGATTTTTGTGTCTGGTATTGTGCCTATGGGTCCTGTCACAACTATCAAGAAAGCTTTTAGTTCAGGGTTAATACTGGAACTTGATAGTTCTGTAAATGTAGGTTGCACAGTAGTAAGTGTGGATGCTCTGAACAGTGAGTAAGTTTAGGTTTTTGAAGAGTGGGGGGAGCCTGGGACTGGACTGCGTGATAATTCTTACTGTGGCTTTTTGTTGGGTTGTTGTTGTTTTAGGTGGGTTGCTGCTGTTGATCCCCAAGCGCAAATGGCATAGGTGATGTAGAGATAGATGAGTGAATAGTATAGTGCGAACAGGGCTGATTGCAGCACATAGTAACTTATCTTAGAGAGGATCCCCACCGTTTTGGATACTTTTCCTTCTAAGTGTTGGATAAATTTTCTATTTTTTGTTTGAATAAAAATTCAAAATAGAAAGCAAGAGTAATATCAGAGGGGCCTGGAGACATGACTGATGAACAAAGAAAATGTTATTTTAGAGCCAGGAATGTCTGCATTGTTCATTCTGGACCTTATTTTGAAATTGTCATATTTTTTAATTTTCGTGAAATTGGCCAAATTGTTTTAGTACTTCTGGGTGTCAGGAACGGATTAATTGTATTTACATTATTTCTTATGGGAAAATTGATTTGAAAATCGTAGATTTCGATAATAGTAACACCTCCAGGAACGGATTAATTACGATAAACGAGGGACCACTGCATAATGTATGCCCCTTACCAAGATAAGGTGCCATCATGTTTCTCACTATGTCACCTGAGATACCCAATAACAATCTGGCATCTTTCAATGTTTTACTTCCTGTGTATACAATAATATCCAATACCAGGCCACTGTCACAATCACAGAGTACAAACAGTTTTATACCAGTGTTTCCTCTTGCTCAGTATATACTGCTTGAATGAGAGCCTACCTCATCAATTACAAGATTCTTGAATGGATAAAAGTACATGTTGAACTTTTGTTTCAGATACATAAAAACATTTCTAATCTTGTATAACCTGTCACTTCTGTCAGGCCTGGTTTTGCCAGAGATGATTTCACTGAAGACCGGGGTATAAATTAGTCGATCTCTGGATCAGTATGATTTTATATTATGCTTATAGACATGAGGCATAAGCGCTATTATTGCAAAAAGCAAATACATTTCAGCCACAGTTGTCTCTTTCCACCGGTGTAGTCTTGACTATGGTGATATGATCGTATTTGCGATGGTGTACTCAAAATACTTGTTACTTTCCCTGACAATAGTTTCTATCAAGGGCTGGTCAAAGAATAAGTTCAGTTCATTTGCAGTGTTTCCAAGGGAACAAGTTGGTAGGATTCCACTTTGAGAGTTATCAAGCTGGTGGGGCTTGGGAACAAAATTGGAATTTTGCTGCCAATGCCAGATGCGGTTTGCTAGTGGATACTGGACATCATAAGCTGGTTGTGGTTGTAGTTGTAGTTGTGGTGGGGTGGTGGCTGACGCTCCGCTTAGTCCTTGAATTGAGGAGTCAGCGGCGTGGGTCCCAGCCTGGGCTGGTGAGTCATGCATGGCCTTGGCACTACCATCACCACTACCACTATCACCACCAATACCACCACCTACTGATGCCTGTGGTCTATCCATGCCAAGTGTAGCCACATCATCATCACTTTCACTGTCTATTCCTGGTGTAGGGCCAAGGGATGTACTCCAGGATGTACTTCATCCCCTGGACACTGCATAGGGAACACTACCCGAGTTTCAAAATGCTCCCAACTCAAACAATTATGCAAGTGTATTTGTGTAAGTGCATTTTTAAGTGTATTTTTGGGAGTCTCAAACGGATTAATCTAATTTACATTATTATTTTTGGGAACACATTCGTTCGGTATTGGCACTCGAACAGTATTCTGGAATGAAATAAGTTCAAAACTCAGGGTACCACTGTATTTCCATTACTCTGAGCCCAATTTCAAGCTATTTTGAGTCTCAAAACCAACCAAAATCATCTCTATGTCAACAGTATGTCTTCCATTCTATCAAATGATGCCAAGAAGCAGCCAATACTACCATAAAAGCCACCTTCGGAAACACCTCAAACTCGCTATTTTTTAAACCAAACACAAGAGGTATCTAGATTTGCTTTTCTCATCATGCACCATGACGAGAAGGATTTATTTTTATACCATGCACACCCATCACACAGATCCATTCTCTCATGTCTAGGCTAAAATTTACTGTTCACAGCTCATCTGAGGGAGCCGAGCTCAGAACATAGATCTACATGAGCAACACTGGCATCAATAAAGTAGATGTATGAAAGACACAGTGAAAAGGTTAAATTTCAGTACAATATATGTTGCATCAACATTATAAATTAAGAGGAAAACCCACAAGGCAACAACAAGAAAGAATGGTACTCTGTATATTTTGACTTCAGCTGAAGGTTGAAATATATTGGTAGGCTGTATAATTTTGACCTCAGCTGAAGTAAAAAAATACAGCCTACCAATCTTCTGCATTTATGTCTTATATGGGTTTTCTCTCTCTGTTGGGTTTATCAGGGCCACTGACAGCATAAACCGTATCGAGCCCGGTTTCTCGATGGTACGAGAAAAAATTGTTGCCCAAGGCTGGGCGATGAGAGAAAAGGAACAAAAGTCCAATTAGATCCAGTGAACCACCTTGCCAAGCCCCAGCAGAGAGGGACATCCACACTCCCACCTGAGTTCAGTAACTGGCTTTCCACCAAAGACCGTTAAAGAATTTTCCGCAGAATGGAAAAAAAAAAAACGGATCTGGCTAAAGTAAGCCGATGAACAGATGCCCCTCCTGTAGAGTGCCCGGCGGGCAAAATAGATGAGGACAAGCATCCCAGAGAGAACGGGGAAAATTTGTCACTGATACTCAGGCGAGAGAGAGATGTCGACACCCGACGAAGGCTGGCGCAGAAGCCCATATGGGTTTTCCTCTCTCACTGAACAGCATTCATTACACTTTGTTGCATCAGCATCTGATATTTAAGATAAATCCCTCAGTAATAGCAAAAATATAAAGTAAAAAATGTGCCTGCAGTCACAAGGTGAGGTAAGCATATTGCAGGGTGTTGCAGCATCATCTGAACTATGATGTCAGAACACATCTAGCAAGACAAAGAGTGAGTGAAAGAAGATGAACATGGTTCCCATTCTGGGTCACTACCTCAGTGGGAGATAACAGCTCTGTGAAAAAATAATGTTTATGGTACGTATCAGTAGACTGTGGGTGGCATAACGTAAATTGTTTAAATCACAGTAACTAACATATAACTGGGATTTCAATATAATACCAGCTACAGCTGTGAGCAACAGTTACAAAAGCAAACTATACAGCAGTAGTCACATCACTTGTCCCTCAACGAACCTTGTGATACGTTTTTAGCCCCTCGTGAGAAAGACGTACAGTATTGTGATTCATGGTGTGTGGCTATAACAGCAGTATTTGTTTTCAGACTGTTACTCAAACTTGTTACTCAAACTATAGCAAGTCATTAGTTGGGAAGGTTTTGGTCTGATGTGTGTTATATTATGGTGACATCTCTTCTGCTAAGTCACAGAACTACAACCATCAACAAAACTTTAAGATTTTTTAAGTCATATGCAAAGTAACTTACCTGTGTAATTAATTCCTGACCTTCAACTGCCAGTGTAACTTCAACAGTTTTTGTATGCTCATGAAGTGGACGAACTCCCTTAATTTTGTTGACTTCAGAAGCTGTGGAATGCCTCTGAAATTTTAGGAATATTGTCAGTAATCTATTGAATATATTAAGAACAATGTTAAGCAAAATATCTGATAAGGCATGTCTAATGTACTGTATACAGTGGAACCTCAGTACGTGAACAGCTCCCTACTTGAACAATTCGGTATTCAAATGCTTTGTTCAGTAAAAAAAATCACTCAGTAGTTGACTGTTTGCTCAGCACTCAACCAAACAAACATGACCTGCCAGAACTTCGCTGTAAACTATTTTGTGTTTCTTCATTTTTTTTTTTTTTTTTTTATATTATTTGTATAAATCACCATACAGTGGAACCTTGGTTTTCGTTTGCCCTGGTTTTCGTCGAATTCGATGTTCGATGACTTTTTTCATCAAAATACTTTCCAAGTTTTTGTTCATCACCTCAGTTTTCACCGGTCCACTGTACCGAATGTGTCCACCTGCTCGCACCCACACAAAGCATGCCATGTGTTCTGAGATAGTCAGGCTTTGTTTCTCGTCAAATGAGCATTACCTTGCATGCTCCTCTGAAACATTTTGTAATAATCCACTGTTTTTTGTGCTTGTTTATTGAGTGTGACTGCTAAATAAGCCACCATGGGGACAAAGAAAGTTCCGAGTGCCAGCCCTTTGATAAAGGAGGCAAGAAATGTGATAGAATTCAAGAAAGAACTCATAGCAAGATACGAAAGCAGAATATGTGTGGTCGATGTGGCCAAGATGTATGGGAAGTCCTCATCAATGATCAGTTCCATCCTGGCGAAGTAAAAAGAAATCAAGGAATCTGATGTTGCGAAAGGGGTAAATGTGCTAAAAAAGAGCTGCAACACCTTCAACTGGAACAGCAACAGATCACAGCTGAGGAAATTGCTTCACAGGAAGAGGAAGAGAGAGGGTAGAATATGCCTTCATCAGTGATTAAGGACATGTGTGCAAAGTGGAGTGAGTTGCAAAGTTTCGTGTAGAAATATCACCCTAACAAAGCAGTTGCAAGCTGTGTCTGCAACATATTCAATGACAATGCCTTGTCCCATTTTAGGCAAATCTTAGGGACGCCAGACCTCTCTGGACAGATTTTTTTGTGCGTCTGGGGTCCAGTGCTGGTCAGAGACTAAGAAGGGAAGTAGCCCCGGATAGGGACTTGATACATGAAGTCCTTATGGAGGGGGATTCCCTTTCCAATGAATAACCCCTCCTCCTCCCTCTCCCCTCCTCACGTCTTCCATGCACCAACAAGAGTTTTCAATAAAGGTAAAAGTGATATTAAATGTTCATTTATCCATTTAACCCTTTCAGGGTTTCGGCCGTACTAGTACGGCTTACGCACCAGGGTTTTTGACGTACTAGTGCGCCTAAATTCTAGTGCTCTCAAATCTAGTGAGAGAAAGCTGGTAGGCCTACATATGAAAGAATGGGTCTATGTGGTCAGTGTGCGCAGTATAAAAAAAAAACTTCAGCACACAGTGCGTAATGAGAAAAAAAAAACTTTGACCGTGTTTTTGGATTAAAACAGTGACTTTGCACTGTATTTTCGTATGGTATTTATTGTTGTATTCTAGTTTTACTGGTCTCATTCTATAGAATGGAAGACATATTATAGAAATTGAGATGATTTTGACTGATTTTACAATGAAAAGTACCTTGAAATTGAGCTCAAAGTAGCAGAAATGTTCGATTTTTACCAAAGTTCAAAAGTAAACAAATCATGCCAAGCGTCCAATACACGTCAACTGGTGAGTCTAATATTCTTTCACAAGTGCGCTGATATTATTTATACAATTTTTTACACTAATGCAGTAGTCTGCATAACAGTAAATATTCCATTTTTTGTGAGAATAAAAATTCAAAGTGGAAAGCAAAAGAATGTAAGAGGGGCATTGGGACGTGACTAATGAACAGAGGAAATGTAATGTTAGTGCCAGGAATGCCTTTCTTGTTTATTCTGGACCCTATTTGGAAATTGGCATGTTTTGAAATTTGTGTGAAATTGGCAAAATTGCCAAATTCTGATCACTGTATTGGATAGTTGAAATCGGTAAATGGGTGGTTTCTTGCACTCATTTGATAGAAAAAATGGAGTTCTAGCGAAGTATTCATGATTTTTGTCGACTAGTACAGTGGAATTGGCCGAAAATAGGGCTCAAAGTGGGCAAAATCGCCTATGCGTAAACATCGTCGAGACCGCTAACTTCGCGAGAGCATAATTCCATAAATTTTCCATAAAATTTCATACTTTTGGTGTCATTATGATCGGGAAAAGATTCTCTATCTTTTCATAAGAAAAAATTATTTTTTTTTTTTTTAAATTTTGGCAACCCTGAGAACAAGTCTCTGAGAGGGCCTGTTGACCCTGAAAGGGTTAATTAGTCCTTATATTTACATATTTCTCATTGTCTTCTGTATGTAAAACTATAGTTATTCTCTATAAAATGTATTTTTTGTTAATACTTTTTGGGTGTCTGGAATGGATTAATTGGATTTACATCATTTCCCATGGAAAATATTGCTTCAGTTTTCGTCAGATTTTCTAGACCGAATTAATGACAAAAACCAAGATTCCACTGTACAGTGGAACCTCAAATATCGAACTGTTCTCAACTCAACCAATTATGTAAATGTATTTTTGTAAGTGCTTTTATAAGTGTATTTTTGAAGGTCTGAAATGAACTAATCTAATTTACATTATTCCTGATGGGAATAAATTCGTTCGGTAACGGCACTCGAACAGCCATCTGGAATGAAGAAAGTTCGATATTTGAGGTTCCACTGTATTTATAAAAAAAGTATTTCTAATATATTTTTTAGCACTGCTTTTTTAATTTCATTATATTTTTTTTACTGGCACCATGAAATTTTTGGAGCTTTTTTTTTTTGTACTGCTTGAAGATGTAATATATAAAGTTTCCCTTATTTTATGCAGATTCATTTTGTGTAAATTCACTTATATACATCAACTCGATTTCTACCAGGAATTCACTGCATGGGGTAGAAATTCACTGTGTGGGGTAGAAATTCACTGTGTCTGGTAGAAATTCACTACATGGGGTAGAAATTCACTGTGTGGGATAGAAATTCATTGTGTGAGGTAGAAATTCACTGTGTGTGGTAGAAATTCACTGTGTGTGGTAGAAATTCACTGTGTGGGATAGAGATTCACTGTGTGTGGTAGAAATTCACTGTGTTGGGTAGAAATTCACTGTGTGGGATAGAGATTCACTGTGTGTGGTAGAAATTCACTGTGTTGGTAGAAATTCACTGTGTGGATAGAGATTCACTGTGTGTGGTAGAAATTCACTGTGTGTGGTAGAAATTCACTGTGTGGGATAGAGATTCACTGTGTGTGGTAGAAATTCACTGTGTTGGGTAGAAATTCACTGTGTGGGATAGAGATTCACTGTGTGTGGTAGAAATTAACTGTGTGGGGTTGAAATTCACTGCATGGGGGTAGAAATTCACTATGTGGGGTAGAAATTCATTATGTGGGGTAGAAATTTCATTGTGTGGGCTAGAGATTCACTGTGTGAGGTAGAAATTGGCTTGCATGCAATCACAAAAGATGATAGCTGTGTTCTTTTGTTCTTATGCAATCATTTAAGTACAGCATCACTTCATTTCTCAACAAAATATCTTTAAATATCCCTCTAAACCAATTAACCCTTAAACTGTCCAAATGTAATCTACGTTTTTTCAACATTTGAAAGTATGTAAAAAAATATATATCTTCTTTTTGTTTTGTTTTTTTACATTTGAAAACGTGTAAAAAACTTTGATCTACATTTTTTTTTTATTTTTGAAAATATGTAAAAAAATGTATATCTACTTTTGTAACACTAAGCATGTGAACATAAGAACATAAGAAAGGAGGAACACTGCAGGAGGCCTGTTGGCCCATACTAGGCAGGTCCTTTAGAATTCATCCCACTAACAAAACATTTGACCAACCCAATTTTCAATGCCACCCAAGAAACAAGCTCCGATTTGCAAGTCCCACTCAAATCCAACCCCTCCCACTCATGTACTTATCCAACCTAAATTTGAAACTACCCAAAGTCCCAGCCTCAATAACCCAACTAGGTAGACTGTTCCACTCATCAACTACCCTATTTCCAAACCAATACTTTCCTATGTCCTTTCTAAATCTAAACTTGTCTAATTTAAATCCATTACTGCAGGTTCTCTCTTGGAGAGATATTCTCAAGACCTTATTAATATCCCCTTTATTAATACCCATCTTCCACTTATACACTTCGAACATGTCTCCCCCTCATTCTTTGTCTAACAATATGTTTGGACAGTTTAAGGGTTGATAATGACATTCATAAACAAGAATTTGAAAATACAGATTTGGATTTGGTAAAGCCAGTGAACCTTTCCTGAATAAAATCCTATACATAGTTCGTTTTCAGTTTAAGTGTCTTGGACCAAAAAAAATGGACACCCAGCCAGACAATTTCTGAGCAATATCTCTTTAACCTTTTCAGGGCCCAGAGGCTAAGTCTCAGAGTGACAGCCAGGGTCCAAGATTTCAAAAAAAAAAAAAAAAATTATTATGAAATGGTAGAGAATCGTTTTCTGAAGGTAATAAAACAAAAAGTATGAAATTTGATGGAAAACTGACAAAATTATGCTCTCGCGAATTTTGATGCATCAGCGATATTTAAGCATTGGCAATTTTGCTGACTGACTCCCATTTTAGGCCAATTACATTATTTCAGTCGACCAAATTTGTAGCTATTTCACTAATATTACTTCTATTTTATTGATTGAGCACAAGAAATCACCCAGTCAACTGTTATAACTATCCAATAAAGTGATCAGAAATTGTTAATTTGGCAATTTAACACAAAGTTCAAAATATTCCATTTTCAAAATAGGGTCCAGAATAAACAATGCAGGCATTCCTGACACTAAACTAACATTTCCTCTGTTCATTAGTTATGTTTTTGCTTTACAAATGAATTCCTCTTTGATTTTTTATTCACATAATGAATTTTTATTCACACAAA